CTGACCTTTACGAAGTATTTGTGAATGCGGAGGAGAGTTTTCGGGAAGGTCCGTTTTACACGTAAATTACTCAGAATTTACTCATATATTTACGAATGTTTCAAGAATGAGGCCCAATGACTTTTGGTACGTTTTTTTTTTTTCACACATTTTTCCTTTCATATACTGCAAATATCTTCAATGATCCCAAATCAGGCTTCTTTTTCTTCGTGAAAACTAAGTGAAAAATATATTTTTCTTTTGATTTTGGGGTAAAATATGACCCAGATCACCCAAGTGCATGGCTAGGGGAAAAACAGTGTGAGTTCAGAGCCAAATGTGTGTGTGAGCAGTAAAAACAGTCTCCATCACAATTTTGCCACAATTAATATGTTTTAAATCAAAGAATCACTGTCTTTAATAAAACCCTAAAATTAGACAAATGCATTGACCTAAGAAATATTTAGAGTTTTTCTTATTTTTAGCGCTGTCAAACGATTAATCGCATCCAAAATAAGTTTTTGTTTACATAATATATGTGGGTGTGCTGTGTGTATTTATTATGTATATATAAACACACATATACAGTATATATTTTGAAAATATTTATATTTAATATACAAACTTATATTTTTTTCTGAAAAATATACACGCATGTGTGTGCATTTATACATGCATAATAAATATACACAGTACACACAGACATATGTAAACAAAAACTTATTTTGGATGCGATTAATCGCGATTAATCGTTTGACAGCACTACTTATTTTATATTACCGTTTGACAGCTCTACTTATTTTATATTACTTCTATACATATAGGATACGTTTAAGTTTGTACAATATGTGTCTTCATATTTCAGGAATCTTTTCTGCAAAGATATTTTGAATGTATTTTTCAAGCGTGCTGCACTTGGAATAGATCTTTAACCAGATTTTGCATGTTTTGAATGAAGAGAATGTTACTTGAATCATGTTATAGTTATGTTAAGTTAAATATTTAAATGGTTTTCTTGAATTGGTCAAATGTTACGATTGAATTTTCCGCCGCATCGAGTCTCTGTACCTGTGGCGTGTCTTTCTGCATCGATGTTGTGATCTTGAACTTTGTTCTTTTACTGGTGAAACTCATAATTAGGGAAAACGTGGATTCGGCTTCGATCTCCTCCTGGAGGAAAGGAGAACGTGGGAGTCTAGTTATGATAAATCAATTAACAGTTTGATGAAAAGTCAAGCCACAGATGAAGCTGATTTGCAAACACCTGTGGCCTCGCTGATCTCAGACTTACTTTCTGCGAGTCGTGGCTGATCATCTTGACGTCCAGCAGGGATTTAATGGTCTTCTGGAGCTCCTTCTCGTTCATCTGCGTGCTGTCCTGCAGTTCTTTGTAGCTCACAGTCTCGCTGTTGTTGAACGCCAGCAGAACGGCCATCTGATAGGTGGTCACCACCGCCACATAGGGCTTGCACAGATAATTCATCTTTACCTCGCCTGACACAAACAAGAACCAGTGTTGTTAAAAAATAACTTTTTGTCAACTTAAATACAAATAAAATATTTGATTAAAAAAAACTTCAATGAAAATTAGATGCTGCTTCCACCCTGAGGAGAGGAGAACGTGGGAGTCTAGTTATGATAAATCAATTAACAGTTTGATGAAAAGTCAAGCCACAGATGAAGCTGATTTGCAAACACCTGTGGCCTCGCTGATCTCAGACTTACTTTCTGCGAGTCGTGGCTGATCATCTTGACGTCCAGCAGGGATTTAATGGTCTTCTGGAGCTCCTTCTCGTTCATCTGCGTGCTGTCCTGCAGTTCTTTGTAGCTCACAGTCTCGCTGTTGTTGAACGCCAGCAGAACGGCCATCTGATAGGTGGTCACCACCGCCACGTAGGGCTTGGACAGATAATTCATCTTTACCTCGCCTGACACAAACAAGAACCAGTGTTGTTAAAAAATAACTTTTTGTCAACTTAAATACAAATAAAATATTTGATTAAAAAAAACTTCAATGAAAATTAGATGCTGCTTCCACCCTTTCTCTGGCCATTATAATAAAACATGCTGTTTTCGCAACTGCCCCTTTAAGACTTTATTATGTAAATTACCTCTGTTATTATTGGCTTATCATTTTGCATGTAAAATGAGCAGCAAAATCCTTTTATATAAATGTGGGCAGTCATATGTTAATCTTTTTCCAAATGGTTGTGATGTCAAAATAGAGGTAATTTCTAAATATATTTAATTTCATTATTTTAATATTTTAATAATTACTTATTACTTCATTATTGACATTACTTCATTATTTGGGGGGCTTTTCTCAGTTAATATTGATATATGCAGTTAATTACAATAATTTCATTTTTTTTAGTCAGCATATCGTTTAAAAAACAGCCCTAATATTATATATTTACAACTAAAACTAAACTAAATATCTAAACAGAATATTTGACAAATAATAGAAATGACAACTTGAACTAATATTAAAACTGAAAACAAAACTAAATAATAAAACAAAACAAAACAAAAAAACAAAATAAAATAAAATAAAATAAAATCTTTCCGACGCCAAACTTTCGAAGTGTAGTGTATGTTTCTATATGACCGACTTTACCTGTGCAGAGATAATGCAGCCAGGTCAGCTTCCTTCCGCTGAAGTGCTGGTTATAAAACAACTCAAACTGCAGAAAGAAGACATCAGTTAAATCAGCATCACCTACTTTCATAATGAAATGAAAGGGGATTTTACATGCTCAGCTCTCAGTACATGAAGGACAAATAATAGAAATGACAACTTGAACTAATATTAAAACTGAAAACAAAACTAAATAATAAAACAAAACAAAACAAAAAAACAAAATAAAATAAAATAAAATAAAATAAAATAAAATCTTTCCGACGCCAAACTTTCGAAGTGTAGTGTATGTCTCTATATGACCGACTTTACCTGTGCAGAGATAATGCAGCCAGGTCAGCTTCCTTCCGCTGAAGTGCTGGTTATAAAACAACTCAAACTGCAGAAAGAAGACATCAGTTAAATCAGCATCACCTACTTTCATAATGAAATGAAAGGGGATTTTACATGCTCAGCTCTCAGTACATGAAGCAAGCTTTGCTCGTGTTTTGGAGCTTGTTGACAGGGCAGCTTACCATTTGTACACTTTTCTCCAGCTCCTGCGGGATGGCAAACGTGGAAGAGGGGACATGTGTGAGGGGCCACGCGCCTGCCTGAAACACATACGAGCGCATGTCAGCTCACACAACCCAGCACATGATCAACACATGGAAAATAGTCATATTCCACATTATTGTAGCTTTCCACTTATGACCATTTTTCACCCTTACATTGACCCTTTTATATGACAATGACCTCTGTTATGCCTAGCTTACAATTCTGCATCGAAATGACTTAATTATTGAAATAATTACTATATTATTGATATTATTGTAATTAGTTGCATGTGTGTGTGTGTGTACATAATAACCCAATAATAACCCTAACCCTACATATATAATTATTTAATGATGTATATAATTATTACTATATAATTATGACATAATTGATATTAAACTTCTTAATGTTTAAACTATGTATTCATTTAAAATGTATTATTAGAATTTATTTTTAAATCAGCATACAATATAATTTATTTGACTATATGATTTGATTAAATAAAAATCCATTAACAGCCCTAATATTATAGACAAACTTACATGTTTTTGCAACTTTGTTTCAGTAAATTTGGTTTGGATTTTTTGCCTGTTTTATAAACTACAACTCTGACCACTTACAAAAATAACAACACACACTTCTCAATATAGCATTCATATCCATAGCACAAACATTTTGAGACGCTATGTGGCAAAATAATTATCAATTATTGATTTAAAAAAAAAATGTTATTATATTTAAAAGCAATATTTAATAAAACACACATATACATATACACATACATTATAAATATATATATATATAAATGATAATTAATAAAATATTTCCTTCTCTCTTACCTGTAATACATAAATCTGGAAGCTGATGCCCAGGTCCACAACGGTCTCCTGGGTTTTGATAAAGTTGTTGAATTTGTTGTTGAGGTCGGTGCTGACGCTCATATCAGTGTACATTCTGTGCAGTTTGCTCGTGAATTCATAGCCACACGCTTGCTGCGATGCAAAGGACAGGGGAGGGAACCGAGAGCGAGAAAAACAATGAAAGGTCTGCTCGCTTTAATCACACTGTGAATGTTCATCTGTGAACATTTTAACACACTTTTCAAGAAAGACGACAAACCTTCAGTTTGTTGATCATGGCTTCCTCGGAGTCCATGGATAATGAAAGTCCATGTATTAACCTCTTTGCAAGCATTCTGGCGTAAAACTAAGAATAAACAACAATTAAAGAGAGAGTAAAACAAGGAATTAGAAAGTACTGCCCACAAAATACTGAAAACACCACCCGTACCAGACACAAAATGTAAAAACAATCTTAAAGGAAGGAAGAGGAGTAACATTTGATGACAAACATTGATGTTGGCTTGACAAAGCCTAACCTGGAAGTATAAAAATAAAAAGTTTTAACAGCTTAAAATTTGAAGGTTTTAATGTCAGCTAGACAGAAAGTAAGTCAGATAAAAGAAGGAAAACATACAAAATCCCATTTTTTTCAGCAGGGAGATTTTCTGTTCTCCTTCTACTATACCTGTAGATAAATCAAGTCATGGCCTCACCTTCTGAAACACATCTTTGTCATCAATGTATTTGAAGACCGTGATGAAGCTGGTCAGTTTGTCCTCCACTTCATTCTCCGTCATTCCTTTTGCAGATTTCTTCAACAGATTGTCACAGTACTTGGCCAGCTGTGCCACAGCACGAGAAACACCGGCAAAGAGGAAAAGCAGTGTTAACGTTCTGACCGTGTGTGTTCATTAGCTTCATTCAGAGTTTATTTAGTCATCCTGATCTAACGTTGGCAGTAGCTGAGGATAAACAGTGATTACACACCAGCTCAGGCGCTTTGCAGATGGATTTGGGCTCTCTGTAGTTCACTACTGAAGTCAAGGCCTGGAGGGAAATGAGCAATAAAATCACAAACCACAAACTCCAGTGTTTCTAAACACTCGCATGCATTCTGATCCCAGATACCCCCTACTGGTATTAAAAGGGAGAAGGGTGATGAAGTTGGTAATATTGTTGCTAAGTATGTGTTATGTTATGTTATGTTATGTTATGTTATGGTTGCATTATATTACATATTAAAAATATCCATGCTTGCATTTGTATTGTTTATATTGATTAGTCAGAGGAGCAGGTGCAGCGGACGACTTATTTCACTGCGCTGCAGAGCCGAGAGATTCAGAAGATCTTTCATCCCGACGGCCATTATGCTGTTTAATAGTTATTGAACCCTTTACCTCTCTTTTATTGTTATTTTTTTTGTGTAAATTTGACAAAACAATGTATATGTTGGGGCAATGGGTTTCGGGTATGCCTTGGTATTTATTTTATTCATCTATTTATTTTTATTATTGGATTTGAAGGACCAGGTATAACATTTAAGTTCTAGTTAATTACTATTTATTTTTAGGATTATGTGTATTTTTTATATGCATGTCTTTTATGTATTTATTGTGTGTTTGCTTGTCTACGGTGTTTTTGGATATGTGTGATCTACTGGATCATTGAATTTTGAATAAAGTATTATCTAACTATCTATCTATCTATCTATCCATCCATCCATCTATCTATCTGTCTGTATTGATATTTTACTATCATTAAATGCATCATTCATTCATTCAAAGTATTGATGTTTTTACTATCATGTTATGTATTATATTGCATTACATTATATTATATATTAATGATTTCTATAATTGCATTTGTATTATTTCAAAGCAATTATGTTTTAGTAATAATAACTGTCATAATAAATTATAATAACTGTTTACAGTTATATTTTTTATGAATAAATTCCATAATTACATATGTATTATATCAAAGTATTGATGTCTTTACTATCTTTATGTTATTTATTATATTACATTATATAGTAATCATTTCCATTACTGCATTTGTATTGTTTCAAAGTATTGATGTTTTTACTATCATTATGTTATTTATATCACATTACATTATACTACATATAATTGCATTTGTGTTTTAAAAGTATTTAAGTTTTTACTATTATATTATATATTAAACATTCATAATTGCACTTATAATATTTCAAAATACTGATGTTTTTACTATCATTCTGAAATATGGAGAAGAGTAATATAATGAGTAAGTGTGTCTAAATGTTTGCTTGGTACTGTATATACACTTGTAAATCCTTTATAAACTGCGTTGAAATGTAAATGTACCTTATCAAGCGCACTCATGAAGTGTTGGTCCCCATTCAACACTGTGTTAATCAACTGGACAAATTTACTATGAACCTCCAACACTGACTCCACAAACTGGGTTGGCATCTGCAGGACAAAGATCAGAGGAAAACATGCAATTAATGCTATATACAAACAATTCTGTACATAAAGCTGTTTTATTTAGCTATGCATCATTTTTAGACACTTACGTTTTCCTGAGAGAGGTTACTGGTGGCTCTGAGACCCTCATCGTGGATGTGGACCTGGAGCTCCTGGATCATGTGAGGTAAGCCGCTGGACACGGCTCGCAGTAGCGTGTACATATTCGCCATATCTGAAACCAAACAAACCATCAGGACGTCCTACAGTTATAACATGCCAACTGAGACACATGCATACAAACATGAATCCATAAGCCGAAAGTGAAAGCTCAAACTGGTTATAAGTGTAACTAAAGTGCTGACCGTCTCTCTTTTCTTGTCTGATGATATTTTGACACTCTCCGTGCAGGAACTGCAGGTGATCGGCCACCATCCTCTGCTGACATTCATGGATGACTTTGGCGTAAGAGCTGGGTTTCAGAAATAGTGGAGTGTTCCTTTAAGATCACCAGATATCAAACAGCAACATGCGAAACAGACTGAATGATCAGAAACATGTTTACGTAATTGGTCAAAATGCAAAAGATGGACAGGTTATGATTACAGCATCTCACCTTCTCCATATACTGGGAGCAGTTGGACTCCTGCAGTAGATTGGAGGCTTCCTGTTTGTAATACTCTCCGGTTTTTGTCAGGAACGGCCCCTCAAAGATCTCCTGATAAAACTGAGTAAAGGAAAAAAAAATGGTGTGGCCTTCAAATGAGATGCATGATTGCTGATACACAAACTCTGAGCATGCAAATATGTACACAAATGTTTGCGGTCTGTAAGATGTTTTTATGTTTTTGAAAAAGTCTCTGCTGCTCACCAAGGCTGCATTTATTTGATCAAAAATACAGTATTGTGAAATATTATTACCATTTAAAAGAACTTTTCAATGTGATTATGTTCAAATGTAATTTATTCCTGTGATCAAAGCTGAATTTTCAGCATCATTACTCCAGTCTTCAGTGTCACATGATCTTCAGAAATCACTCTAATAAGATGATTTGCATTTCTGATTATTATCAATGTTGAAAACAGTTGCACTGCTTCATATTTTTGTGGAAACCGTGATGTAATCTTTTGGAACATTAGAAATGTCTTTACTGTCATTTTTGATCAAATTAATGCATGCTTGCTGAATTAAAAATATTATTTTTCTTTAAAAAAAATAAAAATCTGACGCAAACTTTTAAACAGTAGAGTACTAAAAAAAAATTTTTTTTTATATTTACATAAAATATTACTGAAGTTTCATGATTGCACAAACTAAAAAATAAAAAAATTAAAAAAAAGATCAATGACATAAAAAAAACAACCTAGACAGAGACACTCACCTTTAGAGGAAACTTTTTCTTGTACTGTTCAACATGAACAAAGGAGTTGATAACCCCATGGATTACTTTCTGATTTGGGTCCTCCCCACTTCGGTCGCTATGGAAACAACATTGAAACTGAATAAGTCTGCAAATGTATCCTCAAACAATGTATACTGAAACATGATCAATACAATTGAACTTGGGTTCAGACCATGCAATCATAGAAATTTGATGGAAAGTATCTGTGGTACCAAAGACTTCTGCCATAGATCATTTTTAGTTTGTAGAAACAAACTGTAAATGCATTTACAGTAATACACAACAGAAATTACAGGCAAATGGGCAGAATAGTTTAAAAGCATAAACGTGAAGCTTGTATTTTTCTACAGCACTTGTTTGAGCTAGTGTGCAAATTAATGCCGAGTTCACACTGCACGATTTTTAAACTCGTCGGATCGCCGTTCTTTTCACACATTTCATGTGGACGGAGATTTTTTTTTAAATGGAAGAAGGAAAAATTCTGTTTATAAAAAATACCCGTGTACGTGTGGACATGGCCTTAGATGATGATCTAAAATCTTGAAATAGATTAAACAGTTAAAATATCCAATATTGGTTGAAAAGAAAAGAAAATATTTATTGAACTGTTATCTTTTTCATTTAATTTTATTTTATTATAAATTTTATTGAAATTAATAAAAATGTTTTGGGTTAAAGTATTTAACCAGAAAACATTCCTTCTCTTTTCAAGTTTAACTTACTTCTTGATCTCTTTCAGAAGCATCCCGATCAGCATCGGCTGAAGGGGCTCAATCATTAACTTCCGCCACATGTCAAGTGCAAGCTAAAAACAACAAAACAAAACAAAAAAATCTTACAAAACTTTACTGTTTATGAAAGAATAAACACCACAATTTGACATTTGAAATGTGCATAGCTTAATATCCAATCTGTTTAGATTTAGAAAAAGGTTCATATGCCACCAGCTTGAGTCATAAGATACTGGTTATAAAACCATGCATACCTCTCCAATCTCCATTAAGGGCTCATTCATATCCACTCCTCCGTATCCGTACTGCAGGTCTGCTTCGGTCAGCTTGTTCTTCTTAATAAACTGTGTGTTAAGGTACCTGCGGGAAATTCATGAAAACACTCATTAAGGAAAATCAGTTGCTATCATTTTAGATGAATAAGTGCGTGTTGATGCACAATAAAGCCACGGGTGACGTCAGTTCAATAGCTGCTTGTTTCCACAGCTGACCAAGAGCAGCAGGACAGTGATGGGGTTCAGTCCAGCATGATGAAATCAAGCCCAAACTGACCAAAGCCCTTGGCGAGGCCGAGGTCTGCGTGCCAGAGAAACAATACCTTGTGCACTCAGAGTACTGCATGAGAGCGAACCGTCAGAACCAGTAATAATGAAATGCATGATTGCAAATAAAGCAAAAAAAATATTGTCCCCAAGTACTGTGCAATATCCCTCACCACAATCCCTCAACCAACAATATTAAAGTCTTGTGAGTGTATGTTCACAATGGCATTCTAATGCACTCTTACCAAGAATGTATTATGCTTACTGTGCACAGATGTGCTGCATGCACAGAATAACCGGATTACCTACTATTACGTTTGCCAAAATGTGCAGAACACAACAGGCACACTTCAGGGAATACTGTATGATCCCACGGTGCAATGCTTCACTTGCCATTTCAACAGTTCCTAATGAACTAAAAGCAACATCAACTGTGATTTTAATCTCTCTTTAGTGGCATATTCGTTTGTTACATCAAAAGTTCACACAATTTTACACAAAACTAGATTAAGGACTGCAAAACTACTCTATTACTTTAAGTATTTATCTCTGATATGACAACTAGATTGAACTACCATTCAAAAATTTGGGGTCAGTAAGACTTTTTTTTAAAGAAATTAACACTTATTCAGCAAGGAAGCATTCAATTGAACAAAAGTGACAGTAAAAACATTTATCATGTTACAAAAGCAAATCAGCATATTAGAATGATTTCTGAAAGATCATGTGACACTGAAGACTGGAGTAATGATGCTGAAAATTCAGCTTTAAATTACAGGAATAAATTACTTTTTAAAGTATATTAAACGTGATATTTTAAATTGCAATAATATTTCACAATATTACTGTTTTACTTTTTTTTTCTTCATCAAATAAATGCAGTCTTGGTGAGCAGAATAGACTTCTTTCAAAAATATTAAAACTTTTACAGGCCCCAAACTTTTGAACGGTAGTGTGTACTAAATACTAATATACTATAGGTTTTATGTTACTACTTAATTGAAATTGACTGACTTTCTTAAGCTAAAACCCAAGAAAGTGTTAAACTAAGGTTAAACATAAAATATCAATCATCTAATTCTTTGACATCCACTCAATCATGATTCAAGTATCACACCAGCATTAACACAAACACCATTTACCAACCCAAAAAAACTCTAAAGTCAGTGCAATTTGCTTGCAAAATTAAAAGTGAACTAGCGGTACCAAACAGAATTGCAAAAATAATGACTGTTTCCAAATACAGCAGGTTTTCCAAACACTCCTCATGAACTGCTTATCTGTAGTTGTCTCTGCACATTAAAGGGACAGTTCACCCAAAAATAAACGCTCTGTCATCATCTACTCATCAAGCCGTTGAGTTTCTTTCTTCTGTTCAACACAAAAGAAGATATTTTGAAGAATGTTGGTAAGCAAACAGTTTCAGTTCCCATTGACTTCCATAGTATTTTTTCCATACCGCTCGGTTAACATTCTTCAAAATATCTTTTGTGTTCAACAGAAGAAACTCATACAGGTTTTGGAACAACTTGGAGGTAAGTAAATGATGACAGAACTTTCATTTTTGGATGAACTATCCCTTTAAACTTGGCAAGGGGAATTGTAACACTGAAAAATATTGCACACATCATCTTTAATTTCCACAAGAGTTCCCTCTGCAACAGTAGCTGAACTCACCTGTATAAGCAATCCATGTACTCAGCACCTTTGCTGTATTCCTCCCAGTATCTGTGATACATCCCCAAAACCTTCTCCTCCGACTCCAGGACTCTCTGCAAGACACACACCGCAATGACGTAACAGTTAAACCGTGCTGACACTGGCCTGAACCACGAGCATCTTACCTTGAACAACTGACGGACGTGATTTTCCAGAAACACCTTTGTCTCAGTGTACAGTCTTTCCCCTAAAGGCTCTGGATACGCAACACACAGCGCATAAATGTCACTGAAACTCCTGTTAAGGAGATTTTAATGCAGGATGCATGTAACTTACACTACTGTTCAAAAGTTTGGGGTCAAGAAGATGCCATAAAAACTTACAATTTAAAAGAACTGATTTCTTATTTATTCCTGTGATCAAAACTGAATTTTCAGCATCATTACTCCAGTCTTCAGTGTCACATGATCTTCAGAAATCATTCTAATATGCTGCTCAAGAAACATTTCTGATTATTAACTTCACTATAATGATTCTTTGATGAATAGAACAGCATTTATTTGACAAAGAACCTTCTGTAATTTGAAATGTCTTTACTGTCACTTTTGATTACTTTAATGCATCCTTGCGGAGTATTAATTTATTTTAAAATCTTACTGACCCCAAACTTCTGAGTGGTGATGTACATATAAAGTAGAAAGAAACGAAAACAAAACAAATATGCCTTTGCGCTCTCATAAAAAGATTTTTTAAACAATCTGATTACAAGGAACGAGGGGGAAAGAGGAAGCAACAGTTTCATTGCACATCATCTGAATCAGGACAGATGTGTCTCTACTAGAGTGCAGGATACGAGAAGCGGTCGTTCCATGTTGCTCTCTCCACGTAATCAAGCATCACAACCGCTCTGATTGTCGTCAGGAGCTTGTTCCACGTCTCATCGAAATCCACCACCCGCGGTTTTAAGGACATGGTGCGTGGCTTCGGCTTTAACTGGGGGAAAAGACATGAAAACTAATTCATTACATCATTAGTGCTGTTATTGTTAACTTAAACCCAAAATAAATCGTAATAAGTTGACGTTGAAGTACTAAATGTGCTAAAAGTAAAACTGAAATCAAAAGCTAAACTAATGAGAAAAGCACATAACAAAAGAAATGACCAAAACTGAAACTAAAATTAAAATGAAACCTATATAATACAGTATATATAAAATACAGGTGCATCTCAATAAATTAGAATGTCGTGGAAAAGTTCATTTATTTCAATGACATTCTAATTTATTGAGATGCACCTGTACAAGCTAATTAAAAAGATGAAAAGGGGTTTTCAAGCATCAAAACAAATAAAAATGTAACATAGCTTTAAATTGTGTTTTTCTCCCCATATATTAGAATGGGTTTAATTGTATTTTTTTTCTATGCAAAAATCATATACCAAAACAAATCATACCAAAACATCTTGTCAGGCATATTTAGATCAAGAATCATTAGATGACATTAAAAGGCTCCGTTTAGGGATCACAGTGCAGCCCTTAAAATACTAATGATTTGTAATTTAAAATCTTTTCCAATATCCTTCAAACAACTAAGTGTTACCCATCTGTCATCAAGACATTTTCAATCATTTAAAATAGAATACAATTTAGTATGATCATTTTTTATTTTATACACTTTTTTTCTTTTATATTAAGTATGTCGTTTCATTTTTACATAAATATATCTGTAACTTTGAAGGACGATTGAACATTATTTCACCCATATTTTGGCATTTTATTTTCACAAACGTTATTTGAAACATTAAAGCAGACACTTTACTCGTATTTTATATGCATTCTATGCATATTATATAAATATTATTTGATGCAGACACCAAAATGGGATGCCTCGTCTTTGACTCATAAACAAATACATTAATAGTATATAAATATAACACAGAATCCATGCATTTGCATGACTTCTGCGAGTTGAACTGTGTGGATAAGTAAATGCATTTTATAGAGATTGCTCATAGAAATAGACTGTGTGAAGTTCAAGTAAACAATGAGTGCAAGTTTTTGATTTTTGCAATCCTGTCATTTTTTATACATGGTATAACTATTTTATATAAACCTCCCCGTTCTCAATATTTCAGCAGCACTAGTATCTCCCAATGAAAACCACACAAGGCTTGTGTACATGGTGTGATTTCATCTGACAGGTCTGTCTGGAAGAGTTAGAAGACATGCACGTCTGGCTTCTACACTAAACCACCACAAACCCAGCACCAAAGCTCACGAACAACAACACATTCAATGAGAAATTAACTATTAGAGTAACTGATTGTCTTCATAAAGACAGATCAGCAAAGATCAACTTACTTCAGAGGTCCATAACCTCAGTGTCAACATCCAGCACAGCTGTCAAACCACATCGAAGTATAAATATCACCTGATCTACACAGAAATATCTCCATAATTAGTCGAAGCAAATGAGTTTACATCTCCAACAAACCCACATCACAAATAATTACTTGATCTAAAAGAGAGTCACCCCCAAACTGCAGAGGCCTAGTTACACATATCCATGACATAACTGCATGAAAACAGAGGCTGCTGGGTAATTATAAGCATATATGATTGAATAACAGCCGTGTATTGTGGTAAACAAACACACGCGCGCGTGTTTACAAGAGATCGGTGTGTGTTTGTGACAGAAACAGTGTTCTGGAGCAGGAGCAGAAGCTAACGTCTGTGCTAACAGGAGCGCTGCTCATTCACACACACGCACACACACCTGAGTTTGAGAAAGCCCTGCTGAGCTGCGAGTCTCTGGCGGTCCGCAGGCTCGGGTGTGCCGGGTCCGGGTGTGCTGTCCGCGGGTCAGTGGGTCACAGCTGCGGGTTTGCAGTCAAGCTGTCAGGACGCTGGATTCCTCTCTCTCCCTCTACACCTCTGCCATTGCCTCTCGCGGACTGCACCACTGCGTCAGCTGGAGGGGTGGACGAGGGCAGTTAAGGATGGAGATGGATATTAGAACCTATAATCTACGTGAGACGCTTAATATAGGTTTATTTGGGAATTTAATATAGATATTATGTATGACTGGGGTGTGTGGTGCATAAAACTAATGATAATAATGTATAGCAGCTTTTACCGGACTCCCCCTTTTACTGGTGGTATGGCCGAAAAGTACGGCAGCTGTTGGCGGACATTAGTCGTGACAGAAGAGCTGTGAGATGAGATGGCATTATGGACTCGATTTTAAAGAAATGTAGCCATTCTTATTCCTTTGAACGATTCCAGGCCCTTACTGGTCGCATTAACGATCATTGTAGTGCTTTTTCAGAAAGAAACATGTTTTAAAAATACCTGCTTTTTGCATTTACTGTACTCATCAAGTCTGTTGCCAAATGACATTTTATTTTTCAACTAAACAAATAGCCTATAACGAACCAGAAATCAATTTCATTCCGCCAAAAGGTCTTTATAATGGCTTTCACAGTCATTTTGAAGGTGGCATAAATTCATATTCCTTTAATATTTGTGGCCTTCTCACCTTAAAAACTGTGAACTGTTGTTTAAACTCAATTGTGCAATGTTTCGTAGAACACAAAGATGCAACTAAGCAAATATAATAATAATTTTATCAGCTTTTATGTTTTTGTACATTGATAAAACATAAAACTGATTCTGATGTTCAAAAACAAGCATCAGAGATGCACAGAACAACCTCCTGGACATCAACCAGTCTAGCTTCAGAAGTGGCCGTTCAACAGAGACTGATAATCTGATGATAGCTGCTCGCATCTCAGCTTGTCTAACAGACATTTCTTACTTGATGTCTTATCCCATCAGTGATGAATGTAAAATAAACCGTAAAAAGAAGACTGTTCTCGTCAGTGTGGATCATGATCTCCTATACTAAGTAACTTAACAGATTGACGCACCAAAATAAAAAGATCGAGTGCGGTGCAAACTTACTTGATGAATAACCATCACCTTCTACTCAACCTTACCAAGACAGAACTGCTTGTGGCTTCAACAAACACATCACTTCATCACAATTTCACCATCCAGTTAGGCACATCAACCATAACTAGGATTTACACAAGCGTCAGTCTGGATCCAGAACACCTGAGAAGAGATGATGCCAACCCCTCAGAGGACCTCAGATGATGCCAACCCTGAAACAACATACAGAACTACCACATTTTGCTATAAGTTTGATTGCAACATATAATCATTTCTGTCATGACAACTCTCGGAGGGACTGGCATGGTAATGTACATGACCATGTACAATGTATTTGGTCTTGGCGGAATAGATCTGCTACGCTGCTGCTGCTGCTGCTGCTGCCAATACATCCATAACATGCTGCTGTGAGCATGTAAGAAATACTGCTGCTGCAAATATAACATACATGAAATAACCCCCATATAGCATACATGAATCACCTCGTAGAGATCTATACAGGTGGAGCTGGGGAAGGTGGAGGGTTTCTGAATCAAGCTGCGACTACTACGGCAAGCACTAGTCATATATTTGAATGATTGAGCAGCGAGCTCATTGGCTACTGATACAGGAGAGAACCAATCAGCTGTGCCATGTGATAATGATGTCATTAGGTCAGATTGAGTTAGACCTATCGGACTGCGCCATCTAGAGTTTCATGCCAGAGCTCTGTATTTCTGTTAATAGTGTTCATCGTCTGTTTTTGTATTGTGAAAAGCGCCATACAAATAAACTTGAATTAAATTGAATAACCCCTTAAAAACAGCCAGAAACCTTGGAGTTATGACTGATGATCAGCTGACTTTCTCAGACCACATTGCTAAAACTGCCCGGTCCTG